ATCTTAGATGATTTGATCACATTGATGGCATCATTAATGAATATAATTAAAAATAGGGGATCAAGGTGTAAGCCTTGTAGTACGCCAGATGAGGCTGAATACGCGGACGAGACAAATAGCTGAAATTTAATGGAGTATAAATGATTGGACAGATATGAGAAATACCAAGAGAGAACAGGATCATACACATATTAAAACGAGAGTTTACATGTTAATAAAGAATAGTTAAGGCAGTCAAATCTATTGCTGAGATCTATGTAGACAATGTCCATCTGAATATCAGCATCAAATACATCAACCATGTACTCAAGAAACTCAGCAATATTAGTTGTAGTTGATTGATAGAAAATAAAACCGTACTAGGACGTACTGATATAACGAAAGAGGAAAGAAGAAAGCTTATCGGATAATATGTGATGAAATAATTTCGAGGATACATTCAACCTTGCTATTGAATGGATTTTGAAATTTGGTAATTTGAAAGATCGCATAACTCACCACGCGTTTTATAGACAAGGATAGTTAATTCTTATTTCCATAGTTATGGAAAGGTACCCGAACTGAGAGATAAGTTGAAAATATAAAGTATTAATTGTGCAAGACTATGTAAACGATTAATAGTAAATGTCGAAGGAACGCCATCTGAATCAGCGCTTGACGAAGATTTAATGAAAGAAAGACCATACTTGACGTCTTCAATAGTAAAACAAATATGTGACAGTGATTCAAAATCAAATGATGATCCAGAAAAAACGTTGGAGACTGAAGAGAGATGCGAAAACTGAAGAAAATTTTTTAGCAAAAATATTAGTTATATCTAGGCCATGTCTTGCTCCGATATTATCTAAAAACATACAGTCAGGGTATAAATTGTGGCTACGGTCGCAATTTGCAAACTTCCAAAAATCACTAGAGTTCGAGAATAGAGATTCTTCAGTATCTTTACTAAATAAATTAAAATTAGGAGCTTACACATTGATCTGAGAAGCCTAAAATCTGATAATGCTTGTCCGCTATCCGACAATTTAAATAACTGATGCGCTTATTTCTTCTTAAAAACAGCTGCCTGTACCCCTTTAGACGTCCACTTAGGAAACGGCGGAGTACAAGTGCTAATAATTAGTGTATTAAAGCTAATCACCTCGAATAACCTTTCATAAAAACGGTCAACTAATGTATTTATATGATAAAGGTAAGCACTCAAAAAATCGTCCCAGTCTATTTTTGATAGCGATGACTTGATAGTTTGATAGTTGGCTTTGTTGAAATTAAAGGTGGTTGTAGAACCGCTTATTGATAATGATGATGATGTCGCCTCACTATGTAGTATATCTACAATAAACGGTTCGTGAAACCTATCTGAAAGCATCAGAAGGATTCACTGGAAAACTTAAAGCTGCCGGTTTGTTACAGGTCAGATCCAGAGAATTCCTTGCACTGTTAACCAATGAAGATAGTTAAGAGCACTGCAGTAGATTCATGGAATATTCCAAACGATGTGTGGAAGAACAAACGTCTCGATTTGCGAGTATACTATCAGCTGAGAGCAGACCCTCTAAAACAGACCAAGTACATCGCGAAAGATTGAATTCTCCAATCATAAGTATAGTTTATAACGGGGTTATGACCCGACGCGGATCACTCGTTATATAAATTACGAGGGAATTAGAAATAGCTCGGTGTGGGCCTCGTAATAGACTGCGCAAAGCCTAACCCAGCAGCAACAGGAACGTTGTGGTGCAGCGTCTGTTACCTTGGTCCGCGGAGAGCGTCGTGTAGTCCTTTGGGCGCTTTGGAGCGATCACGAAATTCAGGTGCGAAAGCCGGACGGAACGGGATTGTTTACGATAGGTAAAAAGGAAGCGCAGAGGAAGAAAACAGATATACGAGCAGCATTGAGTTTACTACAGAGAATAGTACGAAGTTAATACGCAGCGTAAGCGGTAGAGAGAGCGGCGAAAAGCTAGCGAGAGAGACACGTATTCGAGGTGGTACTTACAATGACGTCTCGGAGTCAGCCATGGAGACGGTGTTCTCGGCCTCGCACATGGTCTGCGAGAACGCGCAGTACGCAACTCGAATGCGGTCAAAAGGCGGGCGGCTTTGAAGGCTCGCACGCGTAGTCGCTGGAATTAGCTCGCCAAAACACTAGGCAATCTCGGCACCAAACCTCACACCGAGTGGGCACTCGCGTACTCGCCAGAAACACCAAGGAAATAGTCGCAGATCACAAAAGGTCGCAAGCACGTATATGCGCTCGTCACACGTCCACGTGCTTCGAAGTCGCCGGTACAAGAGAGAGTTCTTATCACGGGGCTTTTTCCTGCCCCACTCTCCTACTCGCGCGCGTCGCGCCGGCCTCCCGAATTCTTTCTCTCTAGCTCGCCCTCTATTAGCGCTCTCTCTGACTTACCTTTGGCTGCCATACAAGTGAGATAATTATATGACAAATATAATTATATAAAAATAATTATAATTATGTGTGAGGAGAGAGAGACATAACGAGGGTCTGGCCGCTCGTTATAAGTTGCAGATCTATGAAAGTAGATATGTGAAATTAGATCTGTGAAAAATCCTCCAAGTTCTGAATCCAAATCAACATCTCTTCGTCTCTTGATTTTTCACTGCAAGATAAACTTCGGTTTCTCCTTATTCATTTGTAGCCAGAAATCTGAGAAACTGCATCGCTGACTATTTTATCTAGCCAATACTTTGTTAAAATTATAATATTGTCTTTTTGAACATTCGTGAGGACAGTATGAATAAATGAATCGATTTTTGACTTAATGCCTCCTATATTCTGTTAGTAAATTGACAAGTTAATAAATTTATTGGCTACAATTATGTGCTTTTTGATGAGACAATCTTCGGGATGTCATTAATATATTTGATTTTAAGAGTTGTTTCCCTCACCTGGGAGCGAGAATTTTGCTCTGCAATTTTATCACGAAGTTGTTGACGCTACTTAATGGTTCGATCTGGTCCACACTTCATGTTCGGAATATATTTGAACAGCTCCGGAGTATGGCGAGTAATCTAAAGAATATTATCATAAATACGAAGAAAAACCTTCAGTAGTTTAATCGCATCTCCAGTTTTTTTATCCAGACGCAAAGTAGTGATTATAGCAACATCAAAATTGGCCCCAACAATAAGTGCAGTAAAGTTTGCAGTATCAAGTGATGCACAGAATCGTTCAGGAAAATTGTAAACAATAACATTGCGCTCTCCTTTCCTCTGATCATTATCGGCGAGATAATGATCACAGGAAAAACTAACTTATAATAATTATAAGTTCAGCGATAGTTTTTTCCTCATGCTGATAACTTTGCAACCATGCTCTCGACCGACATAATTCTACCCTCCAAATCATCAACACGAATAGTCTGCTTGGTTAATCCTGAATTAATTTTCTCAACCTGTGATAATAGGTATTGAGTAGAAGTCGATAAGTCGTGATGCTTCGTGGCAAACTTCGACTCAAGAGAGTCTGCCCGTACAATCAAATTCTCCGAAATCTTAGCAAATCTATCGCAGCGAGTCTTAACCTCATCAGAAACGTTAACCAGTATATTGAATCTTTCGATAAATTTTCCGTCCCGTCGAATTTCTTGTCAAATAGGCTTTTATATTCTCTTCAATATCGATATTAGAAGCATAACTAAGCTGGAAGTTAATGTTGTTGACACTTTTACCTGCGGATCAGGCATAAAATTAACTGGATTTACCGCCAACAGATCACAAAAATCTGCGTGTACAGCTGTAAGATAGAGAGGTAGAGTGCGAAACTGACCTCGCTTAAATCTCGAAATTTTCGCAATATATCTTAAATAAGCCATTCGACAATCTCGAGGTCTCATTTGCACAGCTCTTATGGAAAAATGATTTGCACCCAGGGCACTGTGTGGCATCATTGATATTAATAGATCCCTCGGATGGACAAAAAAAGCACTGTTAATCAGACATCACAGCACTTTTATTTATGACAAAAAAATTTTGCAAAAACTTGTGAAATTGATTGTATAAATCGGTTGATAATGCACTCAAATTGTTAAATAATGATGTATGAACAACAATCAGTAGCAATATCTAGCAGACAGAGCAGCAAAGCACTATGATCTGTCACTTGCTAAGCTGAATTGAGACTGAGACCTAGTTCAAATCTGAACTTATTAAATGTCTTACCATAACAGTTCCTTGTACAAAGTCCTATAAATTCAAGCTTATATCTAGCTGAAATATTTATGTTTATGATCTGTGCAGTTTTTTGTATTTTGTATTTTGTCTTAAAGAAATATCTTTTTATCTTTGTATCTGTCTCGGTGTCTGTCTCTTTCTTATTTTCTTACGAATGTTCTGAAAAATTAGTGCCCGGTGAATGATCATGCCGCAGAATCGCTTTAATCTCCAAGCATTCAATTATGGTCATCAAGACAGTAGTATAGCCATCTAACATTAGTGCTGACAACTGTGTTCAATTTGTTAATTTTCCTTACACGACACCATTGCGAGGTTCTGCCTCGCCTCATGTTTATATACGGTCCTTTGTTAGTTTATATAATACTTGTTTATATTGGAAATAAAGTATCCACCCATTTCTTAACCTCCGCATAAATGTGATTATCCCTCTCCCGTTTGAGGTTTGTATTCCTCCAACATAATATTTAGTGGTTGGTGTATTCGTATTTTTTCCCCGCCCAAACAAATAATCTCTAATCGATGTCTCGAGTTGTAAACAATTTTTTTCTCGTAATGACTATTCTCATTACAAACTACACTAGATATTTCAAATTTTTTATGAGAATTTCGAAGAATCATGAAACTAGTAAATATTGGTATGTTGTAAAATATAAATATTAATAGCAATTTTGCATACCAACAGTATGTACTTAACGTAGTCTTTTTTCTCGGTTTATAATAGGTATATTATTTAAGTATGTTATTGTGCGAAAAAAATAATATTAGTAGAATGAATTATAATCGATATATACTAATTCTAGGTTTTTATTGTCAAGTATTCTTATTAGATTGACGCAGTTCAAAAAATAATAAAAATGGCTTTTGCTGGGTTGAAGAAGCAAATCAATAAGGCTAATCAGGTAAGATGATTTTATCTTAAAACTTTATAAATAAATAACATATTGTTTGAAAAAATAAATTTTATCATAGTTCAATGATTAATTTTAATATTAAAAATCTTTGACTCAATTTCACGATGTAAAATACAACTTCAGTAAAAAAATGATTTTTCTCTAAGTATATTTAATTTCTGAAAACTATAAAAAGTTCACCTATATGCATTAAGTACATAAAAACGCTACCAAACGACCAAAAGTATTTACAAAAACAGTGTTAGTCAAATAATAGAAAACAGCGATACAGGCAATCGGTGAGGTATTATCTCAGAAAGATGCAGCACTAATGATACAGGAAAACCACAGATTTATAAATAGATAAGTATAGATGTCATTGAAATCATTCTGATAGAACATTAAAAATATATCACTCTAAGTTTCTTCTTTGATTGAAGTAGAAATCACTTTCAATGTTGTTCATATCCTCAATTTCTCAATTTCAATAAAACATAAGATACATACGAGTAGTAAAATTGATATCTCTTTTACTCTCTGTCTCACTCTCTCTCTCTCTCACACATTTATATCGCATATCTTTCATTCTGTTCATCTTTGCCGTATTTTCAACTTTTTGAAGTTTAAACTTCTTTCATTTTAATAATATTCTTATACTTGCTGAGTTATACAGAGTCATAATACTGTTAGCTGTGTTAATAAATAGTCATCAATAGATCCTACAGCACGTTTTCACCTAGTGTTTTTGCATCGAATTTCCACTATACCGAACTCATTCTTCTAATTTTCATCATCATCATCTTTCAAATATTATATCATCAGCAAGATCATAACTTGTTATACTTACTTCATGTGACGTAATTAATATTTTTGACACTCTAACTAACAAGGGAACAATCCCAACCGACCGCCTTCAATTTTGTTGCAATTGAGATAAGTTATACTTTATAAAAAATAAGAGACACGTATTTCTTTTTATCGGCGGAAAAAGCTGTCTAGGGGCTGAAAACCACCCTCAAAAGTCATCCCTAAAATTAGTTCAACAGCAGTAACTTTGGTTGTAATGAATCTTTTTTGATGAAACAAAATAGAAAAAATTTCTTACTTAAAAAACAACAAAACTGCATAGTTTTTGACTCGGGGGTTGCAACCCCTACGATGTACAGGGGTAAGACTACATTTTTGATTGGATTTTTCGTGTACAGAATCACAAAATTATCATTAAAAAATTGAAAAATAAATTTTCATCTAGGAAATGGTAAAATAAAATCGACATGTTTCGTCGTTTTTTCATTTTTACGTATTTCAAGGGTGAACTACTCCTAAACCCTATTAATACTATATAAATAGTTGCCGATCACCAATTTTGCTGATTTTTCATTTGCTATGATGCTTAAAAATTGATAAGAGAATTATACTGTTGTTGTGCTAAAAAGGGAATTTGCGGTTTGGAAACCACCCTCAAAAGCCACCCTAAAAATCTTTTATATAGATTTTATCAAATTTTTTTTTGTCGAAAAATAGTCATAAATACCGAAGTTATTGCTTTAACAATGTTTTGGGGGTGGCTATTGAGGCTGGTTTCCAGATCGGAAATTTCTTTTCTAGCAAATAACAGTTTAACTCTCTCATCAATTTTTAAGCGTCATAGCAACTGGAAAATCAGCGAAATTGGTGATTGGCAACTATTTATATAGCAATAGTAAGGTTTAGAGTTGATTCACTTTCGAAATTTTGAATAATGAAAAATCTCCAAAGCTGGTCAATATTATTTTATCATTTTCTAGATGAAAATTTATTTTTTAATTTTTATGGTAATTTCGTGACTTTTTACGCGAAAAATCCAATCAAAAAAGTTATCCTTTCCCTTTACATCGTAGGGCTTGCAATTCCCAGAGATAAAACCTATACGTATAATTATATTCACTTTTTTAAAACGAATTTTAAAAATTTTTTGTTGTCGAAAAGTATTGATATAAACCGAAGATATTGCTGTAATAGTCTTTTAGGGATAGTTTTTGAGGGTGGTCTTCAGCCGTTACATTTATTTTCATACAGACTAACAGTGTCATTGTCTAGCCCACATTTAAACGTCATAGCATATGGAAAATCAGCAAAATTGGTGATCGGCAACTATTTATATAGTATTAATAGGGTTTAGGAGTAGTTCATCCTTGAAATACGTAAAAATGAAAAAACGACGAAACATGTCGATTTTATTTTACCATTTCCTAGATGAAAATTTATTTTTCAATTTTTTAATGATAATTTTGTGATTCTGTACACGAAAAATCCAATCAAAAATGTAGTCTTTCCCCTCTACATCGTAGAGGTTGCAACCCCCGAGTCAAAAACTATGTAGTTTTGTTGTTTTTTAAGTAAGAAATTTTTTCCATTTCGTTTCATCATGTAACGAAACTCGCTTGTTATCAATTTTTAAAGGTGGGCAAGTGAGGCGCACTCGCTCATAGCAATCGAGAAGGAGGAGAGGGAAAGGTAAAAAAATACAATTAAAAATCACACTTCAGTAATATTAGATGAATCTTTACCTTATTATTATTACCGTAACTTATAAAACCTTAAACTAACGAACAACGAAGATTGATACGCCTTAAATTTTATTGAACACAACGGTGGTACTAACACATACTACGCATCAGAAAAAACGTAAAAACAAATTAACTATAATTAACCGCGTTTACTAATATCTAACCGATACACAGAACGTGTCACTCGGCAGGTGACTGCCTTGACGATAAAACAACTTAACCTACTTATACTAAGAGAAAACCGTCCGGTGAAGGATCGCCTTGACGGCACGCTATCTTAACAAATAATGCCGGTTTTATAATCACAAGCAGGTAGCCGGTGTGCTAACGCCTTGCCACGTACTAGACCTTTACACCTACTCGCTATGCCGCCAAAGAGATAGAGAGAGAAAAAGAAAGAATAAAGGAGAAAGGGCCTTGACCTTAGTTGTGCGGGAACGGGGAGGACTGGCTGCGCCCTGCGGATGGTGTTGCTGGCCGTCGCTGGGTGACTCCTAGCCGGCTTCTTCCAGGTAGCGTCCCTCGCAAAGATGTTGGAAAAGGCACTAGTCCTTTGTCCTTCTTGGCTTCTCGTCTCAGCTCCTTGGCGGCGTGTGCGTGTTCGGCTGAATTCTACCTCTGCACATTGCACTGACTACACCACTGACCGACTTAGAACCGTCTCACCGTTCGCTTGCTTCCGCAATCGACAGCTTCCCCGCTTTCCTTCTTTTCTCCCCACTTTACCTACTCATTAGGCGGTGCGCGACCAAAGTACTAATTCGTTACGCGTCGCGCGCCTGCCTAATTCTGCGTGGGCCTTGCACGCCCCCCCCCCTCTCTCTCTCTCTCCCTCTCTTTCTAACGCTTAGCGTCGTCCACTTTTCGGCTTCGGGCCGGCTCGTCCTCGCTCGGCAACCTCCGTCGGCTAGAACAAAGACCATGCATTAGGCGCATTCTTAAATTTGCCCAACGCTGGCCACCGTGCCTTGCCGAGAGAGGGGGTAATGGGGAAAAATACCGACGAGAATAAGCGTAACGCTTACTCTCGTCACAATAAAAAAAAATTCATTATAACTAAAGTTACTGCTATTTAATTGTTTTTAGAGGTGACTTTTGAGAGTGGGTTTCACCCCTTAGACAGCTTTTTCCATCAATAAAAAAAATCGTCTCTCTTATTTTTCTATAAAGAATAACATATCTCAATTGCAACAAAATCGAAGATCAATTTGGTCCACTCCGGCTGTAGACGAGCCACAAGCCGGACGATCTCGGACGGTACTCCGTCCGGTCCTGGTGCCTTACCCGTCTTCATCGCATTCGTTGCTCTGGTGAGCTCCTCAGCGGTAATGGCGGGGGGCATTTGTGCGTCCACGTCGTCCGTCACGTTTATCCTAATCGGGTGCATCGGAAACAATCCGACAACAATTCATCCTGCTGTTTCGGCACCTTTAAGTTCCAGTGAGACTCGGACCCCTAGTTCCCCGGTCACGATCTTGTAGCCGGTTCCCGAGAGATCCTCGTTCACCTCCTCGCAGAGCTTCCTCCAGCATCGCGTCTTGCTGTCCCGTATTGCTTTCGTCAGCGTCTTCCGTGTTGTTTTGTATATGGCTTGGAAGTTTTTCCTTTCCGGTCCACCCCTTGCCCTGTCACGTCGCCGATTTGTCAGGCATATCCTGCGTAGTTCGGCTATCTCGTTCGTCCACCAGTATTGTGGTTGTCTTTGTTGAATCTGTCGACGTTTCGGCATTGTGCTTCTGCACAAGATGTCTATTAATTTGGCCGTCTCGTCTGTCAGTCTTTCCGTTCTTTGCCGGCCCATTAGTTCGGGGGGAATTCCCACCTGTGGAGCCGACGCTTCCATTAGCTCCTGGGAAAATTTTCGTCCATCGAGTTTACGTAGATTCCACCACGGGGGTTGGTGAGTCCTCGTTCGCATCGTTCCCGTCTGTCCCACCACTTCGAAGACGATGTACTGGTGATCGCTGGCTGTGTAGTCTTCGATCACCAACCATCCCCTCAGCCGTGGCAGGATTCTGTCCGACGGCATCGTGACATCGGAGATGGAATCTCCGACATCTGGACGTCTACACGTCGGTGTTTGTTCCGTATTTACCACTACTAGATTGAGCCTTGCGGTCATTTCCAGCAGTAATCGTCCGCGTCAATTCGTTTCGTTAATTCCCCGCTTGGTTGCCTTCGCGTTTAAATCCCCTGCAACGATGACATCCCCGGGCAGGTTCCTGATCCCGTCTTCTAGGAGTGCCGCCTTTCATTCGAACTATATCGTGGTGCAGTTGAATATCAGGTAGACGCTGAGATAAGTTACAGTGCCAACCGTGACCCAGACGTAGTCGTCCCCGATACCGCGATTGGATACTCTAGATTGGGTGCCACCCCTTACCCAGATAGCAGTGGTCTCTGTCTCGTTCGTGATGTAGGTCTGGGTCGTTCTTCTCCTATATAGTTCACTCAGGATCA